AATGCATGGAACAGATGCCAGGTACTTACTATTAAACTCTTTACCTGAATTAACCTTATTTTCATTCTCACAATGACCCCAGATGTGGGTACTTCTGTTATCTCTGTTTTCCAGGTGAGGAAATGGAGGTTCAAGGTCACACAGCCAGGAGCTGGGATCCAGACTAATGATTCCGCTAAAGCCCTATCAAGTTACTACATTGCCTGCAAGGTGGCACCTAGCATGGTGTCTGCCAGGAGCCCAGAAAATGTGCCTTCAAGGGCCTGGTCTCTCTCATGAAAGCATGGGATATACGAATTTGTCTCGTGCCAAAGAACTCTGCTCTCTGAAGGGACAGTTACTAAAGTCCCGTTGGTGCTGGCCTCCATAGATTAGGGGCTGGGAATGGAATAGGACCAGCTTCTCCAATCCTGTCATACACATTCAGTCTCTGATGTTACAGGGCTCAGACTTCAGAACCTTGCAGCTGGAGTCTGGATTAGCCTCAGAAATCAGGGGTAACCCAAAAACAAAGACCCTTTTCTTTGTAAAAGAAACTACTTTTGAATCAACTCTGTACACACATTTCATTTATAATTTGTTAAGAAGAGAGGAAACAATACCTTTTGGAGTTCTTCGATTTCAACTTCATAAGTTGCTAAAAAATAAACATGAAAAAATTATTTTAAGGCAGTTTCTTCCAGGATCTATTTCTTCCAGTGCCTAGGATTAAAGCAATTATGAAAGTTTGCAGAGTTCAGTTTTCTCAGCCTTCATAACATTGATGTATGTAAGGCTTTGTCTCGGTGGCTTTGGGAATTTTTGGGTCACTGATCATGGTTTTAATTTCTGTGGGGATTTCCAGATGGAATGTACAGTCAATGAACACATTTGAAACAAATTTCAGTTTCCTGTTTTGGTAAATATATCCATGCTCCAGGGTTAAGAGAAAGCTCTGGAATTTAGTGGTAATGCAACCAGAGGCCAAACGAGTCTGGGGCTCATACTGTCTGCACCACTCAGCCAAAAGATCGATACAGGAGCTGGGATATAGGATAAGTGTTTATTGTCAGAGCACCAGTGGTCTGAGAAGGCAGTGGGTTAACACCTCCAAAAACTGCCTTAACATTCTCAGTCGGCTTAGGGTACTTAAGGGAAAATCTGGGCATTCCTCCAGAGGCTATGTGATGGTTCCCGGAGTCTGCATGGAGACTTCCCTGTGACCATGTGATTCTATGGTAGAGTCAGCAACCCAGGAACAATGATGGGATTAACCTGGTAGACTATTGAGATTGTGATCAGTAAACCTAAGGGTATTAATCATAAGTTTCAGGGTAATTTTCTAAAACAGGAACTGGGTGGGACAGGGGACATTCCAAGCTCAAGCCCGCAGGGGAATGATCTATATATTATTGATCAAGGAAAGGTGAATTCAAGGAAAGGTGAGGCCAGGGAATCGGCAAGGACCCTACTATGGAGGTGCTAACCGGACCCTATTTCAGTAGCAATCAGAAGGCAAATTTGAAAGGAAAGTGGAAGGACAAAAGGCCAAAAAAAATCTAAATCGCACTTCAACAAAATGGACTCCATTGCATGCCTAAAAGTGTATTGCTCGTGTGTTTGGTTTCCTTAGTACAGCTTGAAAATACTCTGACCACCCACTAAGGCTTGAATCCCTTTTGATATTTCCAGTAGTTCTGTGGATTTCATTTAATGACATGATGCCAATCTTAATTATTAACATGAGTTGTAGCAAGAATTTGGGTTCAAAGTCCAATCCTTCCACTTCCTACCTGTGGGACTGTGGACAAATTGCTCCATTTCTTTGAACCTCAGCTGCTCATCTGTAAAATGGGTTAATTGGTACCTGCCTTAGAGTTCAATCGGGAGAGTAAAGGAGATGATATAAGAAATATAACCTACCTAGCGGTATAGAAAGTGATATGTTTTTTGATGAAATTGCTAATTTAATTCTTCTTTGCTTAAAAGCTATCTACAAAGGTTTCCCCCCTGCTGTTAATGAATATGTGTGCATAGTAAGTCGGACCTCCCCTTCCGTTTCTTTTCTCTTTTTTGCTGCTAGAGTCCTGAAGCTTTGGTTCAAAAAACTGACCGAACAACATGTGCATTTCCAAGCCATTATTATTCTAAACTTACAATCCATTAATGAGGTAAATGAAACCCGAGGTTTCCCTTGCGGACTATCTGAATGTGAATGCTGACACACAAGGCCTAAAATCCTGTGTGGATGATGCACACTATGTGCTTCAACTTGGGTAACTATACACGTTGATTTTCACCATTTTTAAAATCAAAACATTCTATTCTGCCTTTATTTGCTTTAAAAGCTCTGGTTAGCTATTGATACATCGTGAAATACTGCTTATGATGCAGACTGCCTCATCCTTTCCAAGTATGGATTTCTTTCCCAATTTGAAAAAACTTTATCTCCTTCTTCCTCCTCCCACCTCCCTCCCCCAATTTATTTACCATATATATGTATTTTTAAAGAATTAACAAATCATGGGCTCTTTGCTTCTCCTTGCCACCCGGGTGGGGGGTATTGTTATTCTGTCTCAGAAATAGGGAAACCAAGGCTCAGGGAAACCTTGCTTGCCAAGGCTAGTGGGAAGTGTTCCCAAGGTTGGACTGGATGATCTCTCTCTAACTCTCCTTCCAGGGAAGCAGAGTCGTCCTTTAATGCGAAGCAGCGTAAAGTCATGGAAAGAACATGGATCTTAGAGGCAATCTGAGCCCATTTCACATTATAACTCTACTAAATATTACTTGCGTGACCTTGTATAATTCAATCTGACCTTGAGCTTCACGTCTCTAAAAGTGGCTAATACAACCGCTATATCAGCAGGGATGTACACAGAGGACCTAACAGAACTGCNTCTCTGTTAATTTACAGGTTGTTTAACCTCTCTGAGTCCTGAGTTCTCGCCTGTAAAATGGAAGCAGTGGTACAAGCTGCCCGGGTCACACTGAGGAGTAAGTGCTACCGTGTATGCACAGTTGCCTGGCACACAGCAGGGACATGCTTGACCACATGAGAGACTCTCTGCTAGACACAAAGATATTGACAGGAGAAAGAAATTAAAGTTGTCAGAAAACAGAAAACAATTACAGCAAACAGATTTGTGGTGGTTTGGTGCGAAGGCAGCTAGCTCTGAACACTTACAAGGGCCCAAGAGCACCTCATAAAAAAAAAAGTATGGATGATGCTCATGCATCCCTTATGTTCCAGGGTACTCCACGCCACCAAGAAAGGGTGACATCAGATGCCACCCACAAAGACTAAAACTACTGAGTTGAACATAAAATACATCTGATAGAAAAATTAAAAATACTTTTGTGCTTTTTTATTTTGAATGGGAAAAAAATTCAGTCATTTGGAAAGTTCACTGGTGCAGAAAAGTTTATTTGCTGATGTTGCCAGGTCAGTGAGGCATGTTAATAAAAATGTTTCTACTCTCATTAATAGGTATAATAATCACTTATAGTTTTCTGGCCATAAAATGTATCCACAAGTGAACAATCCTTTCCAATAAGCATTAAAAACCTAAAGCAGATATATCAGTAAAAATATTTCTAAGGGTGATGTCAGAGAATTTACTGCCTATGTTTCTCCCAGGAGTTTTATGGTTTTGGGTCTTATGTTTAAGCCTTTAATCCATTTTTTAGTTTATTCTTGTACATGCAGTAAGAAGGTGGTCCAGTTTCATTTTTTTGCAAGTATCTGTCCAGTTTCCCCAGCACCATTTATTGAATAGATTGTCTTTACCCTAATGTATATTCTTTCTTTCTTTGTCATAGATTAAATGACCATATAGGCATGGATTTATTTCTGGGCTCTCTATTCTGGTGAGAAAGGTGAAGGGATTAAGAAGTACAAATTGATAGTTGCAAAATAGTCATGGGGATGTAAAGTACAGTCTGGTGAATATAGTCAATAATATTGTAAAATCTATGTAGTGTCAGATGGGTACTAGACTTATGGGGGG